GGAAAGCAGAGGTTGCAGTAAGCTGAGATCGTGCCACTGCACTCCAGCCTGGGCAACAGAGTGAGACTTCCTCTGAAAAACAAACAAAAAACCCTTAGGTGATTACAAAATAATGGGAACACCTGTCAGACAGACCTGACCCCCAAATTGCAGCTCCATCCTTCGGTAACTGAATGACCTCAGGCACATTAGTTCTCCTCTGTAAACCTCAGTCTCCTCATCTGTAAAATGAAGATAATCATAGTGCTTCACATGTGAAATTAAATGTTAAAGAGCGTAGCAGAGTTCTGGCACTCAATATATGCCAGATATTATTATTAAATTAATTAAAATTATGTGTTAATTAAGTTTGCCTCTAGGTGAGTAATTACAGCAGAGGACTGGAAACAAGGTATGTGAAGCAACTTGTACACTGCCTGACTTATGGTGGTGGGTATTCAATAAATGCTTATTAGTATTTTTTTATTATGAGCATCCTCACATATGTTTTAACTCTAGGCCTTATTATCTCTGCATCTGTATCTAAAACACAATTTTAGAAATCATGGCCGGTCGAGGTGGCTTATGTCTGTAATCCTAGCACTTTGGAAGGCAGAGGCAGGCAGATCACTTGAGGTCAGGAGTTCGAGACCAGCCTGGCGAACATGGAGAAATTTCATCTCTACTAAAAATACAAAAATTAGCCGGGTGTGGTGGTTCACACCTGTAGTCCAGTTACTCTGGTAGGCAGGAGAATTACTCGAACCCTGGTGGAAGAAGTTGCAGATCCCTGGTGGCAGAGAGCTGAGATGGGGCTACGGCACTCCAGCCTGAGCAACAGTGCCAGATTCTGTCGAAAGGAAAGGAGAGGAGAGGGGAGGAGAGGGGAGGGAAGGGGAGGGGAGGGGAGAGGAAAAAGGAAAGGAAGGAAAGGAATCATGGCCGGGTGCAGTAATCCCAACACACTGAGAGGCTGAGGCAGGAGGATCACTTGAGCCCAGGGGTTTGTGACAGCCTGGGCAAGGTGACAAAACCTTGTCTCTACAGAAAAATAATTTAAAAATTAGCTGAGAGTGGTGGCATGCATCCGTAGTTCCAGCTTCTCAGAAGGCTGAGGTAGGAGGATTGCTTGAGCCCAGGAGGTTGAGGTTAAAGTGAGTTGTGATTGTGACACTGCACTCCAGCCTTGGCAACAGAACCTGCCTCTAAATAAATAAATAAATATGAAATTGTTAATTTGGGGGCTCTGGCCAGGCACGGTGGCTCACACCTATAATCCCAGCATTTTGGGAGGCCTAGGCAAGCAGATCACTTTAGGTCAGGAGTTTGAGACCATCCTAGGCAATATGGTAAGCCCCCCCGCAATCTCTACTAAAAATACAAAAATTAGCTGGGCATGATGGCACACACCTGTACTCCCAGCTACTCAAGAGGCTGAGGCAGAGAAATCACTTGAACCGGGAGGCAGAGATTGCAGTGAGCCAAGATCATGCCACTGCACTCCAGCCTGGGAAATAGAGTCAGATCCAGCTCTAAAAAAGGTGGGGGGGGGCTCCAAAATGTCAGCTTAATGTCTATTCCTAGTGCCTGCCCCAAAATGAAAGGGATTTTCTCAGCTCCTTCCAGAAGGATGTGCAGGTGGCAGGCGGGTAAGAGGAGGATGAGTAAGAACTTCAGGTTTATGCTTCCAACCTCCTGCTTTGGGGAGAGCCTATGCCTGGGCTGAACTCCAAGAGCCAGGGAGCTATGGAGGCCTGAGGCTGCTGTGAGGCAAGAGGGAGGATGCAGGGTCACTGTTGCTAATGATATTTTCAAGTGCTCATGGACGGTGCGGTTGCCATGGTAATGCTGATGGCTCTGAACAAGCTGCAGCCTCTCTTGAGTTGTGAGTCAGGTTCAGCTTTATTTGTTAAGAAAGAAAACCAATGCCCCAACCTGCGGAGGGCAACGCAAAGCTGCAGGTGGAGGCCACGGCGTGAATCAGCAGGTGCGTCGGCAGTGAGAGGCACAGCCCCTGGGCCTCCTGACGTCAGCGGACCCAGCCCACCACAGAGCCTGGAAAAACTCACGGGGCCAGCCGGGGAGGCCAGCATCGCAAACTGTCACTCAGGCTGGAACACACAAACAGAATCCACACTGTTGGGTGGAAGCCACTTAATAGGGAGCGGGTTCCATTTTCTCAGTTTTGGCTCAAAGGCCAGACGCAGAGGACTCTGCCTCTATGAGTCTTCAGAGCCCAAGGAAATGGGGTACCCCAGCCCAACCTCAGCAAGTGAAGGTCAAGGCGTGGCCCTGAGTTGGCCCATACTGAGCTGACCACCCAGCAATGTGACACAATAGGAATGTCTTTAGGGAAACCAGTCAGCCCTCTGAGAGCAGGAGGGTCCCAGAAAGACAACGAAGGCCACAAAAATGCTCTCACATGGCCTATACTTATGGGCATGCTCCCTTTCCCCCCGTGGGGAGGCCCACAGTAACAGTGACAGTGACACACTGGAATCCTCTTCCATGGCTTGGACACTGTCCCAGAATCCTAGACTTTAGGTATAGGGGCCATAAAACCTACTGGTTTGCCTGGATTCACTGTTGATCCCATTGACTGAGCTAAAGCCTCTGATTTCTTCCCCTTCCTGGCTCCAGTATCCTGGTGGGCCCACTTCCTAACCAGCATGGGACTCCAGGCCCTTGTCTCCACCCACTGCCTTCATTATTTGGCAGAGTACTACAGTGGGTAGGCCAGTGGGTGCTGAAGGCAGGGCAGGTGGATTTAAGTCCTCCTTCTTCCACTTATCTGCTATGTGGCTGAGCCTCCATTCCCCTCTCTGTAATACAGGTGTGATAATAATGACAGCACCACTCACTGGGTAGCTCTGAGGATGAAATGTGATACTATCTGCAAGTGTTTAGTGCAGAGCCTGGCTGGCACCTGGTCAGCGCCGGATAACTGTTTACCATTGTTAACTTCAGTTCAGGCTACATCATATCCTGCCTGGAGAACAGCAACAGCCTCAGAACTCCACAGGCTGGTCTTGCTCACCCCCAGTCTGCTGTCCACACCACAGCAGAGTGGTTGATCTAAAATGCATCTGATCATGTCATTATCCTCCTTAGAATCAAACAGTGGGGCCAGGCACAGTGGCTCACACCTGTAATCCCAGCACTTTGGGAGGCCAAGGCAGGCGAATCACTGGAGGCCAGGAGTTCGAGATCAGCATGGCCAACATAGTGAAACTAATGCAGGAATTAGCTGGGCGTGGTGGTGCTGGCCTGTAATCCCAGCTGCTCGGGAGGCTGAGGCAGGATGGATTGAACCTGGGAGGTGGAGGTTGCAGTGAGCTGAAATTGCACCACTGCACTCCAGCCTGGGCAACAGAGTAAGACTCTGTTTCAAAAAAAAACAAATCGAACAGTGGCTCCCATTTGCCTTCAGGATAACTTGTAGGATTTCTTAGAGTGCCTAAGGGCCCTGACCATCTAGCCCCTGGCTACCCTCTCCAGCCCTGTATCTCCCTACACCCCCATCCTTGTTAAGTTTCGGCCACATCCAACCATTAGCAGCATCTCCAAAGTGCCAGGCTCTGCCATACCTCCAGGATTTTTGCCATGTTCTTTCCTTTACGCAGAATGCCCTTTTTCTTTTTGTCCAGCTAGAAAACACCTGCTTATCCTTCAAGACCACATCAAGATCCCTCTATACTGTGAAATTTTCTTGTCCTCTCCTTGAGAGCAGAGTAGATCACTGCCCCCTCAGAGCCATTTTGGTACTTTCTATAAAGATATTTATGGCCGGGTGCAGTGGCTCACGCCTGTAATCTCAACACTTTCAGAAGCTGGAGAATTGCCTGAGGCCAGGAGTTCAAGATAAGCCTGAACCACATAGCAAATACAGAAAAAATTTTAATGCAAAAAATTTTTTAAATTAGCCAGGCATGTTGGTACAGGCCGATAGTCCCAGCTGCTCAGGAGGCTGAGGCGGGAGGATCGCTTGAACCCAGGAGTTCAAGTGAGCCATGACTGTACCACTGCATCCTGGCCTGGGTCTAAAAAAAAAGACCCTGTCTCTAAAAAAAAAAATTACAGTCCATGCCTGTGACACTTTCAGCTTCTTGAGGGTAGCATTGATTCAAATATCCGTACCCCTAGAACATACATGTGTGCCGTCACATTCACAAGAGATGACTGTGAATGAATGAATGAAAACAAAAACTCCATTTATAGCCATTTATAGAAGAGGAAACTGAAGCCCAGACAGGAGGGCCAGGCATGGTGGTGCACGCCTGTAATCCCAGCTACTTGGGAAACTGAGGCAGGAGAATCACTTGAACTTGGGAGGCGGAGGTTGCAGTGAGCCAAGATTGCTCCACTGCACTCCAGCCTTGGTGAGAAGAGTGAAACTCGAAGGAAGGAAGGAAGGAAGGAAGGAAGGAGGGAAGGAGGGAAGGAGGGAAGGAGGGAAGGAGGGAAGGAGGGAAGGAGGGAAGGAGGGAAGGAGGGAAGGAGGGAGGGAGGGAGGGAGGGAGGGAGGGAGGGAGGGAGGGAGGCCCTTCTTTTTCCTTCTCCAGATGGACACATAGCTCACTTCTTCCTGACACTCAGGTCTCCAGCTTCTCACAGAGGCCATCCCTGGCCAGAGAGAGGCTCATGCCTGTAGTCCCAGCACTTGGGAGACCAAGGTGGGCAGATGGCTTGAGCCCAGGAGTTCGAGACCAGCCTGGGCAATATGGTGAAACCCCGTCTCTACAAAAAATACAAAAATTAGCCAGGCATGGGCCAGACAGAGATGGTGGCTCACACCTGTAATGTCAGCACTTTAGAAGCCAAGACAGGCAGATCACTTGAGGTCAGGAGTTTGAGACCAGCCTGGCCAACATGGCAAAACCCTGTCTCTAGTAAAAATACAAAAATTAGCTGGGCATGGTGGCCCATGCCTGTAGTCCCAGCTACTTGGGAGGCTGAGGCATGAGAATCACTTAAAGCCAGAAGGCAGAGTTTGCAGTAAGCCAAGATTGCACCACTGCACTGCAGCCTGGGCAACAGAGCGAGAAACTCCCTCTCAAAAAAAACAAAAACCCAGGCACAGTAGCACATGCCTATAGTCTGCTATTCAGGAGGCTGAGGTGTGAGAATTGCTTGAGCCCAGGAGGTTGAGGCTGCAGTGAGCTGTGATCGTGTTACTACACTCCAGCCTGGGCAACAGAGTGAGACCCTGACTCAAGGAAGGAAAAAAAAAAAGCCCATCCCTAACCATGGCATCCAAAACAGTGGCCCTGTCACTATCAACTGTACTTTTCTTCAAAGCACTGTCTCTATATTATACAACCCGATACTACCTGTATTTGACATTTGTTAATGACTCTCCCACTAGTACCTAAGGGTACAGATACACCATTTTGTTTACTCCTCTGTGCCTAGAACAGTGCCTGGCACATAGGAGGAGCTCAATAAATATTTGTTATACAAATAAGTCAATGACCCTCACTTTCCTCCCCTTTGAAATGATACATACAGCTACGTAGAATTAAATGATGTTGGCTCGGAGCAGTGGCTCATCCCTGAAATCACACCACTTTGGGAGGCCGAGGCAGGTGAATCACTTGAGATCAGGAGTTCGAGGCTAGCCTGGCCAACATGGCAAAACCCTGTAAAAATACAAAAATTAACCAGACGCGGCAGCAGGCCCTGCAATCCCAGCTACTTGGGAGGCTGAGGCAGGAGAATCACTTGAACCTGGGGGGTGGAGGTTGCAGTGAGCCAAGATCACACCACTGCACTCCAGCCTGGGCAAGAGAGTGAGCTTCCATCTGAAAAAAAAAAAAAAAACTTATATTAAAAAAAAGAATTAAATGATGTCATACATAGAGGATGCCTTGCCTGGCGCAGGAGCTTCACTGGCATGCAGTAATGGTGGCTGCTATTATTGTCATTGTTCTTCCTGTTGTTTTGGTGCTCACCAGCTCATGGGGGAGACTGGTGTAATTTGTGATAATAATAAACCTCTTGGGCTGGGCGCAGTGGCTCACACCTGTAATCCCAGCACTTTGGGAGGCTGTGGCGGGTGGATCACGAGGTCAGAAGATCGAGACCATCCTAGCCAGCATGGTGAAACCCCATCTCTACTAAATACAAAAAATTAGCCGGGCGAGGTGGTGCACACCTGTAGTCCCAGCTACTTGGGAGGCTGAGGCAAGGGAATCACTTGAACCTGGGAAGTGGAGATTGCAGTGAGCTAACACCACTGCACTCCAGCCTGGGCAACACAGCGAGACTCTGTCTCAAATAATAATAATAATGTTCTTATTCCTGAGACTTCGGCTCCACTTTGGGGTGTGGGCAGCAGCCCCTCCATCTGCCTGAACAGCAGGGCCTCAAACTTTTATCTGGACTGCCAAGGTCACCCTCTGGGTCTGGCCCTGATGGTGGGAGACCTCTCTCTGGGACCTGCCTGGGCTAGGGGTAGTGGGCAGAGCCCAGCCCAGGCCTCAGAAACCCATGATTTCCCCCCAGAGCAGGCCCCACATCAAAGACAATCTCAGAGGGGTGAGGCCTCAGGATAAATGGAAGATTAAAGAAGGCTCAGTCTCCACAAGGCCACAGGGAGAGGCGGCCAGCAGGCGACCACAGCGGGGAGGCCCCTACACAGCCCTGGCAATGGCCATCTTGGGGGGCAAGAGAAAAGAAGGGGGCCCAGTCCTTGGCAAGGGGAGCCAGGAGGACACCTTAGCATAGGGGGTGCTCCTTGTGATTAAATCTGGATGCAGGGCTTCATTCCATGCCAGCTTCTTAACCCTTTCCCAGCCAGGAGGCAGCAGGGAGCTCAGGATAGGAAGCCCTGGGCCTCTCTTCAAGAGACTTGGTTTGGTCATTGGGGTTTGCTCTCTCCAGCAAGGGAGCCTGTAATGAGGACCTCCTGGCCCCAGTCTTCCTCCCCAGGGAAGGTCTGTAATTAGTGCAGGAGGCAAGGCTGGGGAAGCGCAGACAATGTCATTTGAACCAGGATGAGACAGGGCTCAATTGCTAGTCTGCATTTTTTTATTTTCCTGGTGCCATTTCATATACAAAACTCCAGCAAACTTAACCCTTTCCTGGTTGGGCCCAGATGCCAGAGTTTCAGCTGGGCATAGCATCCATTCCTATGCCTAAAGTGCGCCATTCTCACCTCCACCACAAACACCCCAGTACAGGTGAGCCATGGTTTCAGACTTCCTCAACGCCAGCCAATCCATCATCCAACCAGCCTTTGCCGAATGCCACCAGATGCCAAGCGCCAAGGGGAGGGGACCCAAGGGAAAGTCTCCCTTCCTGTTAGCAAGGAGCTGACGATCCCTCTGAGCAGTGGGGGAATGCACACTCGAAACAGGTGGCAGGCAATGGAAGGGAAAGTGGAAGCTGCTGAGGACCAGCACAGGGCAGGGAAGGAAGCCGGGTGGAGGCAGAGTACACAATATGGGGGCAGAGAGGATGGGCGTGTGGTAAGCGCTCAGTAAATACGTTCCAAGGGAGATATCTTCCTGGAACAGAGCTTTTCTGCAATCAGGGCCTGAGGGCTGAACCCACAGAGACAAGGGAGGTGGGCAAAGGCAGCCCCCAGGTGGAGACTATGTCAGAGCTATTGCGACAGGCAGAGGCTATTGCCTCCTCCCCAGTGCTCCTGGAACATCCATTCTGAATCCGTGAATTACCAGTTTATCTCACACTGTACTATACCTGCCTCATTACAGATCTGGCTCCTCCACTAGATTGCAAGCAGCCGGAGGGCTTTATCTATTCACCTCTGGTCTCAGGGGCCTCAGCACTAATCCTGGCACACAAGAGGTGCACAATAAATGCTCTTGGTTGTTTATTTTTTAATTTTTTTTATTTTTTGGGGGGGAATGGAGTCTTGCTCTGTTGCCCAGGCTGGAGTGCAGTGGTGCAATCTTGGCTCACTGCAACCTCCACCTCCCGGATTCAAGCAATTCTCCTGTCTCAGGCTCCCAAGTAGCTGGAATTACAGCGCACACCACCACACCTGGCTAATTTTTGTATTTTTAGTAAAGATAGGGTTTTACCATATTGGTCAGGCTGGTCTGGAACTCCTAACCTCAGATGATCCACCCGCCTTGGCCTCCCAAAGTGCTGGGATTACAGGCGTGAGCCACCATTCCTGGCCAATAAACGCTCTTTGAATAGACCGCAAGGCTTGCATGAGATGGTGAGAGAAGTGAGGGAGAATCCACCTCTACAAACCTTCCCAGGGAGGATGCAAACTGTGGCCCCACTTCCTTTGCAAATCACAAAGCAGTATCTCTAACATATAAAGTTTAGCTTCCAGTAATCAATAAGACCAACCACCAATTTTTAAAGGTCAAGGGATGTGCCCAGGCTACAGAAGAGGACGCATAAATTGTCCTAACACATCTAAAAAGATGCTCAATCCTACTCAAGATAAATGCAAATTTAAAATTTACTGGAGGCTGAGCTCAGTGGCTCACACCTGTAATCCCGACACTTTAGGAGGCTGAGGCAGGAGGATCACTTGAGGCCAGAAGTTGAGACCAGCCTGAGCAACATAGTGAGACCCCATCTCTACAAATAATAATAACAAATTTTCTAGGCGTAGTGGCACATGCCTGTAGTCCCAGCTACTCATATAGCTGATGTGGGAGGATTGCTGAGCCCAGGAGTTCGAGGCTGCAGTGAGCTATAACTGTGCTACTGCACTCCAGCCTGGGAGACAGAGCAAGACCTTGTCTCCAAAAAATAAATAAATAAAATACACCGGAAACCATTTCTTATTGATCAGATTCGAAAATTCCATAAGTTTGATAATATCCTTTCTTTGAGAGACTATAGAACAATCAGCAGGGTCGTATATTCCTGATGGGAGTATACATTGGTACAAGATATTTGAGAATACCTACCAACATTACAAATGCACGTTCTCTTGGACCCAGCAATCCTACTTCTGAGAATTTATCCTCCATGTAGTACTTAAACAAGTCTGTCCTTGCAGCACTGTTTGTTATAGTAAAAAACCAGAAACAATCCAATTGTCCCTTCGATGGGGACAGGTAAATAAATGATGGTACATTCATACAATGGGCGGCTATGCAGCTATTTAAAAGAAAATGAATGAGGAAGTTCTCTATGTGCTAATACAGGACGATCTTCAAAATAGATTAAGGGTGGGGAGATGCAGAACAGTGTGTATAATACTTATCGATTTAAAAAGAGACAGAGAGTCCTGGTATTGTGGCACATGCGTGATCATCTGAGCACTTTGGGAGGCAAGGCAGGAGAATCAGTTGGGGCCAGGGGCTCGAGACCAGCCTGCACTCAATTGCTAGTCTGCACTTTTTTTTTTCCTGGTACCATTTCATATACAAAACTCCAGCAAACTTAACCCTTTCCTGGTTGGGCCCGAATGCCAGGGTTTCAGCTGGGCATAGCATCCAGTCCTGTGCCTAAAGTGCGCCATTCTCACCTCCACCACGAACACCAGTACAGGTGAGCCATGGTTTCAGACTTCCTCAACGCCAGCCAATCTATCATCCAACCAGCCTTTGCCGAATACTCTTTTGTTGTTTATTTTTAAATTTTTTTTATTTGTTGGGGGGGATGCACTATTGCTCTGTTGTCAGAGCATATCGAGACCCTGTGTGTACAAAAAATTTGAAAATTAGCTGGGCACACCTGTAGTGCTCAAGAGGCTGAAGCAGAAGGATTGCTTGAGTCCCTGAGGCTGCCGTAAGCTGTAATCGCGTCCTGCACTCCAGCCTGGACGACAGAGAAATACCTTGTCTCTTAAAAAAACAAAAATGAAACAGAGAGAGAGAGTGAAAAATAGCTATATGCATACACACACACACACACACACACACACACACACACACCATAGAACGGTGCCCAAGAAAGTAATAACATTGATCATGTGTTGGTTAAAGGGTGGGAACTTAGTGGTTAGGATATAGGACGCAGAGATGAAAGGATTACATTTGTTGCATTCTTTTTTAATGTTTTAACTCATCTGAATACATGATCTGTTCAAGAAATTGAAAAGACACACACATAAACTTCTACCTAAGACTGAGGATTCTTGGATTCTTCGCAAGTTGCTGGGTAATGTGATTCTACCTCAGCCGGCTATCCCTCTGTCATTTTCCCTCACTCATTCCCACCAGGTTTTCCTGAGACCCGGGGTTCCAGTAAGCAGTGCTGCCAACTCAACTCCTGCCTCCAGATCATGGACTATGAAATCAGACCAAGTCACTGTGTGATCTCAGGCAACTTAGTTCATCTCTCTGGGCTTTAATAAAACAGAGTAATCCTGGTGCCTGTCTCCAAGGGCCATGGTAAGGTGTAAATGAGAAAACTCTTCTTGGCACCGATAAAAATTCAAAAAGAGAGAGAGAAAGAGAGAGAAAACTCATAGGATGTGTTTAGCATAGATCCTGGGACTTGATCAATGCCATATGGTATAAATATACAAGGTTTGCCGTTCATATTCTTTGCCAGCATTTTAATTGGATTGTTGGTCTTTGTCATTTTGGGTTAGAGGAGATCTATTGATTCAGAAGATTGAGATATGCATTGCAAACTGGCAGAGCATTGAAAAGCAGCAAGACCCAATAAATGGAGGTTTGTGAAAATCACTGTATATTTTTGTGATTGTTTCTTTCCCAAGCCATGCATGCTGGTATTTGAAGGCATCCCACATTGAAGACCCTGGGGCACATCTGGACATCCCCGAAGGAGCAGAGTCTTTTGTCACTGGCTCTGTGTCTCTCAACCAGTCTCCCGTGGGTCGTCAGAGATTGTCATTCTCGGAGCTGCTTCCAGCTGCAGCCCTCAAAACAACAACCCTCCCTTTTACTCTAGATGACACTCATTCTCTGTGTCTTCCCTGGAAGTCCCCAGGCTTGTGGGGTATGTGTGTGATACCAGCTCCTACAAGAAATAAATTTAACTGAGCACGGTGACTCACACCTGTAATCCCAGAACTTTGGGAGGCCAAGGCAGGCAGATCACTTGAGGCCAGAAGTTCAAAACCAGCCTGGCCAACATAGTGAAACCTCGTCTCTACTAAAAATATAAAAATTAGACGTGGTAGTGCACCCCTGTAATCCCAGTTACTCAGGAGGCTGAGGCAGGAGAATCACTTGAACCCAGGAGGTGGAGGTTGCAGTGAGCTGAGATGTCACTACTGCCTCCAGCATGGGCAACAGCAAGATTATGAGATTACGTCTCTAAAAAAAATTCTCCAAGGAGTACAAGTAAAGCCTCCCCAGGAAACCCTAAGTCTTCATTCCAGAAGAGAGAGAATCCTGCCGGGCTGGTCTGAAGGGACAGCTGGACGGATTGGGTTGCAGAATACACACCCTTGGGGCCCCTTACTTTGATCTGCGGATACTTGGTGCTTGCTTGCCATAGAGACGAGGAAAAAATGTGGCTCCTCTGGGCCTGCATCCATTCATTTTTCTCCAGAAAGTTGGTTCACCCTTCAGTTCTGGAGGCTCCCAAAATGTTCCTCAGAGCACCTGGAATATATATTTGCTTTAACCAGTGATTGCCAAGGCCGAGCCTGCTGGGTTTCTGTTTGTTCTGCTCAGCCACAGAGGCTGGGGCTGGTCCCTGAGGCTGGCCCCCACTCTGTGCATGATAAAGGATGGAAGCTCCCACCTAGACCCACTCCTCAAAAAGAGGAGCCTGGGTGAAGCGCCGGTGGGAGGTAAAGGCTGAGTCTGCAAAGGCCTTCGCCTCCTCCCTACTCTCTGGAAAACCCCCTGGATACTATGCAATTTATCCAATCCCAGAGTCTGATGCAGCAGAAAGATGAAGGCAGAGGCCAGATCTAATTTCCAATACTCTGGTTTAATAGCTGTGTAACCTTGGACAAACAACATAACCTCTCTGAATCTCACTCGCTTCACCTATAAAGGCAAAACTATGTATGTATTTCTGTCTCCCTTCTAAAGGCATTTGAGAAACCTACAGACCATGGCATTCGATGCTGCTGATAGAGGAAAGAGACATGGAGGAAGGGGAGCAAACGGAAGAGGAAGGCAGGACGCAGCCGAAATGATCCTCCACAAGACTCTATTGCAAGAGGACCTCAGCAAATTGATCTCTGAGCTTCCTCACAGCCCAAGCAAAGAAGGTAAAGCAATGACTTACAAAACCTAGAGTGTCCATTAAGTTAAAAATAAGACTGCCGCTCAGAAGCAGCCAGCTTTGCTTCCCCGGGCCTTCCTAAAGGGGCCAGATGGCAGGTGGAGGTAGAGGATATGTGTGTAGTGGGCCCCTCCCTGCGTGGGGGTAATACTATCTCCCAGGGTCTTTGTGAGTCTGAAATAAAATGAAATGCTTGACAGTGCCAGCTAAAGTGGCTGTAGGTGCTTAATATGTGCACATTTCCATCCTTCCTCCTACTCTGTCTGCGCTCACGGAAGGGGTATCTGTAGATCTTACAGGCATATGAGGATTCAGCTCTTCAATCATTCAGCAAATATTTATCGAACACCTGAGTTAGGCAAACGTGGGAATCCCCCTCAACCTAGCTGGCGTCTTCCCTGCTGTCCCCAGATCCTTGTCCTCAGAAGCTCTCCCCCTCCCACTGCCACCCACCCTTCTGGAGCTCAGCCTCCGCCTCCTCCCAGCGTGGCTTTAACCCCCAGGGAGCCCCGCTCCTGTGGCTTCTCCCTCATTCCCCGCATAGCTGCAGGCTGCTCCCTTCGACCACCACATTCATGGAGCGGGGCCACGTGCAAGAGCACAATTAATATTCCACTCAGTCTCCCCCAGCCTTGCTGCCTACTGGGAGAAGATGGAAACCAGATTTGCAGCCACACGCGCTGGCATGGATGTGCACAGAGAGGCAGAGGCCCGCCCCTAGGTGTGAGTGCCGGCATACAGTTGTGCAAATGGTGGAAGCCCCACACTTCAATTCACACCTCCAGACATCCTCAGGGAGAGGGGGTGGTATGCACACCTAGCTCCCAGCCAATCACTGCCCAGGGAACACTCAGACTCCTCACACACAAAGGCCGTATTTGCTTTCTGGGCAGGGGGAGTCAGAATCTTCGAATTTCAGAGCTGGGAGGATGGAATTTCAGACACCAAGCTAAGACCCTCATTTTTCAGGGAAGAATCTGAGGCCCTGGCTTAACCTTGACAGTTACCAGTCCCCAGTGAACTGCAGGGTGACTGGATGCATTTAGCAAAGCCTTTGATTTAAACGCCTGATGCTGCCTCCCTGCCGCCTGGGGACAAGCTACTTCAGCCTTGGGTGGGGGGCGGGGCACTGGGGGGATAAGGGCTTGGCAAGAGCAGGAGGTGGTAGGCAGAATCAGGCCTCCAACTTTCTGTGCCCCTGCCCTTTCTCTTAGCCCCATAGTTCCAGCTCTGCCAGCCTTAGGTGGGGCAGGATTTGCAGGGGAGTGTCCCCAAGAGTATGAGGACTCAAGGGGAGGAAATAAGCGGCTTTGCTGGTTTCTCTCCCATTACGCTAGACTTTGAGAGCGAGGGAGATGGAGGGCGTGGTGGTACGCCTGAGAGCCTGTCTTCCGGTTAGGGAGCCAGGTGGCTGCATTCTAGAGATGTCTAGAAGTGAAGCTGGAGCAGGTGATTCAGGCTGGAGGGGAGAAAGGTGACTTGAGACCAGGAGGAGAGCAAAGCAGGAAGCGGGTGGAGCTGTTTCCCAGATGGCAGGCAGACAGAGGGCCAAGGGGTGGGCCTGCTTCCAGTCCAAAGATGGGACGGCAGAGCAGAAATTCAGGGAAAAAAGAAGCAAAAATAATTACCAGGAAAAGGAGCTAGAAGGGAGGCAAGTGTTTTCTTAGTTCTTAAGGAACTTCAGTCTTCAGAGAATTTAAAGAGGAAAAAAAATCTATCTTAAGGCCTTTCTCCAAGGCAGGGTGGTTGGTGATTCACTCGCTGCTTTGGAAGGCCCTGGAGGAAGGCCCTCCCTTCAGCTCCTGCCTCTCCCCAGTGAGTAAATTCAGTTCATCTGGGGTGAGTGGAAAGGGTCCTGGGTGCAGAGCCAGGAGGCCCTGGTTTTAGTCCTATCTCTGCCTCATAAGGCCGGGCAACCTAAGGCAAGCCTCCAATGGCCTCAGGCCTGGGTTTTCTGTAAAACAAAGAAGAGGCAAGTCATATAAACTCTGAGCCTTGGTTTTCTCATCTACAGATTGGAGATGATAATATCATGTCGATTCTAAGGTGTCATCAATTACATGATGCACCATTATGTTATGTACATTAGGAAGGAAAAGAGCATCATCCATTAAACCATGACATAACATCAATCATAAGATACATTCTGACTTCCGAGATGTTAAAACGTGCGAAGAAATGTGCATCTCAGAATCAGTGGAAGACAATACTTATCTCACAAGTTTGTTCCAAGAATTAAACAAGACAATATAAAGTGTTTAGTGCCTGGCATAAAGCAAGTACTAATAAACGTCCGGTATTTTTATGGTTCAGGGTGGGGTGGGAAGGGCTCATAGGCCAAAGGTGTGGAAAGGAGAGCCTTAAGCTGAGTGGAAGCTGCGGGCCTGAAGCCCACCCTGCCTCCTGGCAGAATGCCACCCCAGGCTCGATGTCCAGCCCCGGTGGGGGGCACAGGGAAAGCAGCCATGCAGCCCATTTTTGGGAGCTGCGAGAAAACAAAGGGCTCCGTCTGCACCCCGGAAGTCAGTCTAATCTCCAGGATGAATATGTTTTCATTTCTCAGAAGTTCCTGTTAGAGTGTGCCAAAGCATTTTTCTCTTTACAACCAGCAAACAAGACAGGTTTACTTTGGGTGACCTTATTACCGCCACCCAGGGCCTGCCTGCCGAGTGTAAACACCCGCCTTGTACTCTCTGGGAGGCTCTGGGCAGAAGCTTGGAAAATCAAAGTGCCAGGCCTCCTGAGCAGGGAGGCCCTTCACTCTCCCCCAACCCCTACCCCTGTTCCCCAGGCCCTGTCCTGGAAAGGGCATATTGGAAGATCCTTGGAGAGGATGAAACCCTAGAGGGCATCAACACCTCACCCATTTTATAGCTATGGAAACTGAGACCTAGTGAAGGGCAGTGATTCTACACACACACACATGCACACGCACACACGTGCACATGCACACACACGCACGCACACATGCACACATTCTGCTCACAGCTCAGCCTGGCAGGAGTCTCTTTCTGCCTGATCTTCATATCTGCAACAGGCAAGAAGCTTTTCTCTGTCCTCTTTCTTTTGTGCGTCATTGACTGTGTTGGGATGTCTTTGTGCATGAAGCTTTTGCTTCGCAGTTGGAACAGCTCCTGGAGAGCAGCAGCTGGGTGTTCCTGAGTCCCTCACAGAAGGGGCTGCTGTGACTGCTTTACGTGACCTGCAGTATTTGGGCCTGTGGAGGTGGTGTTTGCAGAGTCAGCCTTGGCTTTCATCCCCTGACTCCTTCAGATGTACAGGAGGGGGCTGGGTGGGGGGGCCGGGTTGTGGCACTAGACCCAGGAATGGGTCGGGAGGGAGCAAACTCTCCCTGCTGGGTCACAATGCATTTACGACCCAGTACGCCATCTCATTTCCTTTCCTGGAAAATCTTTAATAGACAAGAAAGAAGGGATGTGTGGCTGACCACACCCTACAGAAGGCATCAGGTGGGCACAGTTCTTTCCAGTCCTGGCACAAAATAGAGCCTGGGCTTCAGTGTGGCCATAAGTGCAGGGTATGTGTAGGGCATCTCACTCCTGCACCACTGCCTGCTCTGCCCAGTCAGGCTTTCCTCCTCCTTCTCTTCTACTTGCTATTCCCTCTGCCTAGAATGCTTTTCCCTGCATTTTGCCCCATAAATGACCCCAGTTGTTGATTCAGTTCTCAGTTCACACATGGCCTGTTCAGAGAGGCTTTCCATACCCACAGGGTCACATCACACTATTTTATTTTTAATCATCTTCTTAACATTTTTTTTACCCATACTTTTCTCCACCCACTCACCCACGCCTGTGCACCCACATTTACTCTGGGATCTAAGTTCTTTTTTTTTTTTTTTTTTTTTTTTTGAGACTGAGTTTCGCTCTTGTTACCCAGGCTGGAGTGCAATGGCGCGATCTCGGCTCACCGCAACCTCCGCCTCCTGGGTTCAGGCAATTCTCCTGCCTCAGCCTCCCGAGTAGCTGGGATTACAGGCACGCGCCACCACGCCCAGCTGATTTTTGTATTTTTAGTAGAGACGGGGTTTCACCATGTTGACCAGGATGGTCTCGATCTCTTGACCTCGTGATCCACCCGCCTAGGCCTCCCGAAGTGCTGGGATTACAGGCGTGAGCCACCGTGCCCGTCAGATCTAAGTTCTTAATCACCGCCATGTCTCCAGTGCCTGCTCTGGGAACCATTCACAGCAGGTACTCAATAATGCTTGTAGAATGTGTGAATAAAATTGCTGTCATCCACATCTCTGCTGGACTTTGCCATCCTCTTCATTCCAGAAAGAAAATGATCACACTCCTCTGCATGCCTGGCTCTACCTTGCTTGGTCTCCCTCCTCCCTCTGCCACCACTTTCCCCAGGATTTCTCTTGGGAGATCCTGCCTCTCAGACTCTTTAGAAGCTGCCGGAACCAGAATGTCTCCCCAAGATTATTTTCAATGGTTTCCTGGGATGTTCACCTGGGTAAGAATAAGGAAAGAGAGGACACTCTAATCCTACTTATCTAAAACTGTATAATCTTCCCCAATCACTTAAATGGTACCTGTGTCTCTAATTACAGAGAAGGCTGGGAGGAACGCGGGCACAATTTCCAACCAACCTCAGGCAGGGGGGCACTTTTGCTCCTCCTGTGGGCCTGCAGGGACTCTAGCTCAGTAGCCAGGACTCCAGACACCTGCTGCTGGAGCTCACTCATGACCACGGCTTGTTCACCCCACCGGAGACCCCTCCCCTAGCCCTGAGAAGGACCTGCCACATCTCACTGTTTGAATGGTGCCTATTTGGCCAGATGTGACACATTTGGGGAAGACACCCATGGTCCCAGCACCCCAATTCTACCCGCCACTGTTGTGAAAGTGAATTGATTTTTTTTTGGCCCAGCCTTCCTTCTAGGAGTTGCAAGGCTGGTGAACTGCTCCCCAGGACATGGGTTATAATCCTACCTTCTCAGGAGCAAATTCTCCAGGAGGCCTGGCAGCTAACAGTCATATGACAGCCTGGAAGGTCAGAACTTCACTCTCCAGAACTATGTCCACCAGATCATAAGGTGGAGAAAAGCCACGTGCCTGCCCGCCTGCCAGGTGAGCAAACAACTGCTGTTTCAGCCTCGGTATGAACCCTTCTCCCACCTGGTGCTGAGAGTAATTTTGGTGACATCCATGGCTTAGCTGCAATGACATCTCTACTTCTTAAAGGCCTTTTGGTTCCTGAGCTAATTAAATGCCCTGGACAGGGAGGACACACTTAATCCTATTAATGACTTCTGGGCAGGAAACAGTGTGCCCAGCCGTCTGAGGGAGGCCTTGCTGAACCTGCTCCATTTGTTCAGGTGCTTGGCAACTGTTATCAGCCCTTTCAAGAGATTAAGTTTGTAGGCAGGAGCAAGCCACTTAGGTGAAGGATCCAGGGGCCCTGGGAGTGTCTGGTGACTGCAAAGTGTGCAGCCAGCCAGCACCTTGGCTCATTCAGATTCCAGAACCACTGTTCTCCAACTTCCTGCTCTTCAGAACCATTGAGGTGGGTGGGACTTGACAATCGAGGAGCTTCTCCTCGCCTATCTATGGCTGTTCACCCAGCCCTTTCACACACAGGGGAGCTGGGGACAGTCCTTGCCCTGAGTAGTCTCACAGCTCAGTGTGGTCACAGACACAATGTGAGCAAACAAACACAATACCACATTAGACTGGAAACAGTGGAGGTGAGCACATGATGTCCTGTGGGTGTATACTGGTGGTAACTGCTCCAGCCTGGGGGTTCAAGGAAGGCTTCCTAGAGTAAGAAACATATGAGATGAAAAATGAGAGTTAAAAGCTGAAAATCAGCTGGGCACCGTGGCTCACAACTGTAATCCCTTCACTTTGGGAGGCCAAGGCAGGTGGATCACCTGAGGTCGGGAGTTCAAGACCAGCCTGAACAACATTGTGAAACCCCGTCTCTACTAAAAATACAAAAATTAGCCAGGTGTGGTGGAGCGTGCCTGTAATCCCAGGTACTTGGGAGGCTGAGGCACGAGAATTGCTTGAACCTGGGAGGCAAAGGTTGCAGTGAGCCGAGATGGTGCCATTGCACTCCAGCATGGGCAAAAAGAGCAAAATTCCGTATTTAAAAAAAAAACAAACAAACTGAAAATCTCCCCCGTTGAGGGGACATCTGTTGAGGGGACCGTGAAACCGAATTCCCTGACTGGGTTTGGTGCAGGCTTTAGCATAAGGCTGGAAGAATGGAAATAGCTCCCTCAGCAATTTATGAGACAGTGGTTGGTGAGGCCTTAACAAAATGCCGTTGTTCCAGAACTACTGTTGCTTTAAGCCCCCACCTTGAGCATTCAGAGGAGATTGCTAAGACGAAGTTGCAGATGTCTCTTTAAAAAGGGAGCGAGGATTCCCCGAACCACGCCCTCCTCTCATTAATATTAAATTATTGTGAATATTGATGTGGGGGCGTGGCGCCTTGGCCAGCTGGGCTAGCCAGCCAGGGGTTCCCGGTTTCACAGAGAGGAAAGTGACAGAAGCCGTGCAGAGGAAGACGCAGAGACAGCGGAGCGGCCGGCAGCCACCCAGTCTTGGGGGAGCGCTTAGCTCCCCCGCCCCGGCTCCCACCCTGTCCGGGGGGCTCCTCAAGCCCTCAGCCCCACCCCTGGGCTCCCCATGGAAGCCAGCTGTGCCCCGGGAGGAGCAGGGGGAGGTGGAGTCGGCTAAATGCCCACGGTGCGCCCGGGGCCCCTGAGCCCAGCCCGCTCCTAGCCGCTGCCTAAGGCCCCCGCGCCCCCCGCGCCCCCCACCCAGGGCCGCGCCGCCTCCGCCCGCCCCTCCCCCGGGGTTTCGCCCCGGACCTGCCCCCCGCCCGCTTGCCAGCGCTCAGGCAGGAGCTCTGGACTGGGCGCGCCGCCGCCCTGGAGTGAGGGAAGCCCAGTCGAAGGGGGTCCCGGGAGCCGGCCGCGATGGACGCCGTCTTGGAACCCTTCCCGGCCGACAGGCTGTTCCCCGGATCCAGCTTCCTGGACTTGGGGGATCTGAACGAGTCGGACTTCCTCAACAATGCGGTAAGATGAAGGGTCTCCGTTCCGGTTCCACCCCTCGGCACCCCTCTTCGCTACGCGCCTGGACCCCTAGAAGGGCCGACTACACATTACTGGGCAGGAGCGGTGGAGGTAGTTCAGCGCAGGATCTCCCGGAGCGACCTGTGCTTGGAACTCCGAGATTTGGCGAGTAGGTCCCTCGACAACTCCCTTGGACCCCCGCCTGACCTGAGCCTCGGAGCTTGGGCCAGTGCGCCACCCTCCTGGGGCTCAATCCTTGCATACATTGGCCTCCACCTTCTAGGGGGAAGGGGCCATCAAGGCATCGGCGACCGTCCGATCCTCGGATCTGAGCTCAAGAGACACCAATCCCGCCCCCCTCCCATGTCTTCTAGCCGACCCCAACCCACCCCAGACTGGGTGTAAAGTGGCAGCGCCCTTTCCTGCGCCCCCCTTGGGGCTTAGGTGGCTCTTAGGCTGGATCTCCGCTGGGGGGCGCACCGGGGAGGGTTCAGAGTGCCTGAGACCCGACGCCCCTGGGGATGAGAGCCAGACCTGGGTTCTCAGCCAGGCCCAGAAACTTCAGGGTGCTGCCCTGGCCGCCGAAGAAAATCAGGCCCAGAGACCCCCCAGGGAGGGACCTGAGGCTGGGGGTTGGGAGGAGGCGGTCAAGGCAGCAAGGGAGATGGCTCAGGAGGAGGGAGCCCTTTCTCTCCATCTACCTCTAGACTTCTGCTCTGTCCCTCTGTTCCTGGAGTCTGGCTGACTTTCTGTCTCCCTCTCCCTGTCTTCTTGACTAGGTCCGACTGTGGGCTTGCCTCTCTCTTCTCACTCTTCCCCTCCCTTTCTAAGGAAACGTGGCTTCTCTCTCTTCTTCCCTCCCTCCCTCTCTCAGGCTCAGCCCTAAGGCCTTGATGGGGGAAGGGTATGGGATTAGAATGGGAGAAAATATTTGGGTTCAGAAGGGCCTGCCCAGATGAAATGTGGATTGTTTGGGGAATCTAGTGGGAGCCCCCTCTTCAGTGAGCCACCAGTTGAGTGTGCATGCCTGTATACACACTCTCTCTCTCTCTCTCTCTCTCTCTCTCTCTCTCTCTCTCTCTCTCTCTCTCTCTCTCTCTCTCTTTCACTCACCCTGTGATCAAGCACGAGAGTCTTTACCTGACCTCCACCTCTACCTCCCAGGACTAACATAAACTGGGCCAGGCAAGAGCCAAGTCCTTAGAGGACTTCAGCATCTTGGACTTCCACCTAAACTATCCCAGGCCACTAGATCAATGGTGAGGAACCAAGCCAAGGGACAGGAGCCGGAGTCAATGGGGCATGGGGGCTAAGGTCTCCCTGTTCCTCATTAGGTAGCACATCCTGGTCACCCTACACTCTAAGGAGGGCCCTTTGTCCCAGTCAGAGGGAGCATAATTCAGCAGACAGAACAAGGGTATAAGGGGAGAGGGCTTGCATTGGCAGCAGAGACTTGAGTTCTAGTCCTGGCTCTGCTTCCCCTGTGAGCTTGGTCCATGCCACTGGCTCTCCTCCCTGGACCTCAGTTTCTTTGTCTGTAAAATGGGGGAGAGATTGGAGCAGGTCTTCCTAATAATGGCTCTGGCACAGATCTCATGAGTAAAGCAGCAGGATCCAGGGGATCCAGACCTCCTCTTGATGTTGGTAAAAGACACTTGTCACAGGGAAGGAGGTTTGTCAGAACTTGGAGCCTTGAAGTCAAGGGGGACGGTAGACCCCTGCCGTAAGCTTCCCTCAGTCCTTGGCAGCTCTGAGTTGGGCTTTCTTCTGAATGAACTCGGCCGCCAGCAGCCTCTTCCTGCTGCTCCATTCAGTCCTGCATCCCCAGCTGCTCATCTGGGCCCTGGTCCAGCACAGGAAAGGAGACACGATCAGATAGTGGGATCCAGCACTGGGACACTGGGGAGGAAAAGCCCTGCTGGGGAGGCTCCTGATCTCGAACCCGGGCAGACCCAGGAGAGGCAGCGGGAGAAGACAGGGAGCCTAAGGAAAGAAAGGACTCTTGGGCTGGGAATCAGGAGATTTAATTCTGTGTTTCTGCCATCAGTCAGCGGGCAATTCAGAAAAGTGAATTTTCTTCTTCTGGGCCTTGGCTTCCTCATCTGAAAAATGAGAATATTAGAACCATCCCCATAGCATTACCATAGGCATTTTGAGAGAAAATTTAAGTGAAGGTTAACGTAGCACAATGCCTGGCATGTGAAGTTCATTGTTGGCTTGATCCATAGAGACTGGATGGGGGAGATAGTGAGAATTGCTCAGCTAGGAGTTGCTGTGTGACTGTAAGCAAGTCATTTTCCTTCTCTGGGGACTCCAGGTCCATAGCTGAGGTCTCTTCCAGCTGAGATCCCATATCAACCCTTCCCCCAACTTCTTCATTCTGCATGGGGATAGGAAAATGTTTCCAGGGTTAAGAATGAGTAGAGATGATGTCTGTGTGCCTCTCGGTCTGGAAAATGGAGAGCAGGATATTCACTATCCTCCTTAAAAACCCAGATATGGGCCGTAAATCACGTGGAAAACGCGTGTGTTCTGTTGCTCTGTGCAAAAAGCAAAATATATGTTCAACTCCTGAAAACAACTATGCAAGAAATATGCATGTACTTGGACAGAAAGGAGAGGGAGTGCACAAAGTCAAGACAAGTATGTTTGGAGGTGGCTAGGCTGCTTTATTTTTCTTTCTATGAGGATATCTTTACGATGCCGCAGTTCTGTTTATGTGATTCTCAGTCTCCTTAGAAGGGGGTTGCCCTTCCTGTCCCATGTAGGGGCATCTCCTCCCTGCCCTTCCCACTCTCCCACAGTTTCTGATGGGGCCACTCTTGAGCCACTGTACTCTGTGACACTTTAGCCCCTTGGCATTTAGGAGAGAGAGAGAGGGCCTGGGCTCCAAGAACTGAGATAAAGGACCAGAGGGAGAGCAGGTCATTTCTCTAGATGGAAACACTGGGTCTGTGTGCTGTTCCCTCCTTCCTCTGGCTAAGGGGAAGGGATGTCTGGCTTCTCTAGAGAGAACTGGCTTGGGATCCCAGAGAAGCCCCAGCTGGGAGGGTGTGGGGAGAAGAAGGAGCAGGAAGAAGAGGTCTGTTTTCTCAGAGGGGAGCAGCAGGAAACTGCAAGGATGTTTGCCCAGCACACCCGTTCACTCCCTGCAGCTGGGGAGGGCAGGTGTGGGAGTGACGGGGACCCAGGGACCAGCCCAGCATGGGGGGAGGCGGTGGGGGCTAAAGTTGATCGCTACTCCCCAGTCTCCTACCCTGGCTTCTCCTGAGCTAACTGGGAAGCAGAGAGGCCCCCCAACCTCCAGCCTCCGGGAGATTTAGGGAGATTAGAGACGTATGTGTGTTTGGGTGTTCCTATGTCTGTGGGTGGGCCTTTACCAGCCCTTAAAAGGGGAGATGTGTGTGTGTGTTTCTGTTTAAGTTCTCACCAACAGGGAAAAGGACAGAAGGGCCAAGGCACTCTGGTCTCAGAGTGGAATCCGCCAGAAAACAGCTAATGAAAAACCTACTGGAGGAGCCCAAATCACAGCGTGCCTAGTCAGAAAGGAGACCTCTGATACCTACTCCTCAGGAGTAGGTGAGGTTTAGTTTGGGTTTTGCTTCCCCCAGTGTTGAGGGAACAGTTCCTTGAGTCAGGAGCTTGGTCTGGCTTGTTCACTGCTATATCCCAGTGCCTAGCAACCAACGGTTGGATGGATGGATGGATGGATGGATGGATGGATGGATGGATGGATGGATGTAGAAAATGGGGTCCAAGCCAGACCCCGTATTCTGAGAGAGGAGAGAAAAGTGTCCTTTAGCCCATCTATTTGCAGCCATCAAGGTCCTGCAGAGCCCACACTGTTTCTGAGGTTCAGGAAGGGCTCTCACCATGGTTTTCAATGAGTTCTCATTACCTGGAGCCATCCCCATACTGTGACACAGGCCTTTCTGCAGCCCCTGGTCTGGAATAGTCTACAGCTGGCTGACCCACAGGGGATTTGAACTTGTGGCTCCTTAAGCACTGGCTCTAGAGCTTCCATCTTCCCCAGGTTCTTCTTCAGATTGCTCTAGGACTTCTGGATCCATACTCATCCAACTTAAGACTGAGCCTTTTCCAGCCCTGCCTCAGGGCCTTTGCACATGCTGTTCCTAACATCTGAACTGCTTTTCCCCCAGTCTCTCCATCTCAGCTTTCTGATCTCAGCTCAAATGTCACCTCCTTAGGGAAGGTTCCCTGACCACCTAAAGTGGAACCCCCCTGTTCTTTTCTGTTTTAGTCTTTTGATTTCTTCTAGCCCTTAACCCAGTTTGCAATTCTTTTAATGGCTTATTGTCTGTTTCCTCCATGAGAAAGTAAGTTCCATAAGAGAAGAGTCCGTATCCGTTTTATGCATTGACATAAACCTAGCACAGTAAGGCATAGGGCAGAATAGATGCTCAATATAGTAAAACACTACAATAATGCAGTAAATTCACTGAGTCAAAAGTTTCCAATTGTGTTCATTTGTGGTGGCTCACACCTGTCATCTCAATGCTTTGGGAGGCCAAGGCAGGAGGATTGCTTGAGCCCAGGAGTTCATGACCAGTCTGGGCAGCATAGGGAGACCTAGTCTTTACTGAAAAAAAAAAAAAAAATAGCCGGGCATGGTGGCATACACCTGTGGGAGGCATACGCTCAGGAGGCAGTAGAGGGAGGATCACTTGGGCAGGGGAGGTTGGGGCTGCAGTGAGCCATGACGGCACCACTGTACTCCAGCCTGGGTGACAGAGCCACGTCCTGTCTCTAAAAGCAATAATAATAATACAAATTTAAAAATAAGATTTCCAATTATATAAAATATGGAGTTATATTTTTGTAAAATTAAAAAAAAAAACAATATTTTTCAGATGGTCTGTACTATCACAAAAAGCAAGAAAGCAAAAATTGTGACAGCTGACTGCACGCAGCAGACAGAACAGAGAGAGTCCCACAGGAGCATGAGGCAGTCTCCTTTTTTTACCAACCCCACGGAGAATGGAGTTTTGCTCACTTTTATTTGACAAGGGGCCTGGGCATAGAACAGAAGTTAAGTTTGGGTTACATTGTAGTGCACTTTGCTCTATTTCAAGGACTTACTGTATTCGTAGAGAAAATTACTTTAGGCTGGGGCAATCCTTGTAAGGGAAGGGAAAAATTGTTTTTAAAAAATCCCAGGCTGGATGTGGTGGCTCACACCTGTAATCCCAGCACTTTGGGAGGCTGAGGCAGGGGAATCACTTGAGGCCAAGAGTTTGAGACCAGCTGGGCAACACAGAAAGACTCTATCTCTGTAAAAAATAATTATCCAGGCATGGTGGCATGTACCTGTAGTCCTGGCTGCTTGGGAGGCTGAGGTGGAAGGATCACTTGAGCCCAGGAGTTCAAGGCTGCAGTGAACTATGACCATGCCACTGTACTCCAACCTGGGCAATACAGCAAGACCCAAAAAAATCAGATTTAAGTGTTCAAGAGGTGTACTTACAATTCTTGAAGGGGTCCTGGGGTTTTCGGGGTCCTTAGGGTGGTAGCGATGCTGAGTCCCACAGAAGTGCTATCTGTACCCGGATACGTTGTGATGTCCCTCTGGCTTCCCTGGACCAGCCGGGAATTCACTTGTTCATTCATTAATACACACATCTATTCCTTCAGCAACTGGGCACTGAGGGAACATCTATTCTGGTGCCAGGGTAACCTGCACGAAGAAGATACACTTGGCCATTCAGTCACTCACAGATGAATGAGAGAGACAGAGAGGGAAGTAGGCAGTATCAACATCGTGGTGGGCGCCATGATGGAGCAGAACGTGGCAGGTGGCTGAGCCAGGCTACAGGTCATCAAAGGTTTCTCAGAAGATGATCTCTGCACATGGTGCCCCAATTTCCTGCATCCTTAGTGGCAAATGAATTATTAGAAGGCATTTCTGGCCAGGAGCAGTGGCTTACACCTGTAATCCCAACACTTTGGGAGGCCAAGGCAAGTGGATCACCTGAGGTCAGAAGTTGGAGACCAGCCTGGCCAACATGGTGAAACGCCATCTCTACTAAAAATACAAACAAATTAGCCAGGCATGTTGGCACATGCCTGTAATCCCAGCTACTTGGGAGGCTGAGGCAGGAGAATCGCTTGAACCCGAGAGGTGGAGATTGCAGTGAGCCTAGATCACGCCATTGCACTCCAGCCTGGGCAACAAGAACAAAACTCCATCTCAAAAAAAAAAATGCATTTCTGCAGGGACTGGGGCCATGTTCCTTTTACAGAGCATGTATAGGCATCATTATCCATTGTGCAGATGAGAAAACTGAGAGAGGGGAACATATTAACTCTGCTTAAAGGCAGGGGTCCTACAGAGAGAGTGAAGGAGGAGAAAAAAAAGCAACTACAAGCAAGTTCTCTTGGTCTGGTTTGAGCTTTGCCCTCTAGAGCAAGGAAAATTCAGGATCTTGAATATCAGAGGGTCCCTGCCTTCATCCTCACCCACTCCCATCTTTAGGGCATCTTGGATGCCTAGAACTTTATGGGCAAAGCCAGATCCCCTGGACAATCTCCTACACCCCGTTTCACACCCTATCCTCAGATTCACCCCAGGATGCCGTTCCCCAGCCCTTCTAGGGACTTGGACCTTTGCTCTCTGAAGCTCCTGGGACTCCTCAGGAGGCTGTTTCTGTCTGCCCTGGCCTGGCCTGGCTACTGCATCAGGAGAGGGGAGCATAAAGGACACCCCTGCTTGTGTCTTCTCTCCATACCGTGTGCCTCGTGTGAGTCCTGGTACTGAGGCCCTCCCAGAGCATCTCTCTCTGGGACCTGACTTGCCCTTGAACCTCCCTCAAGAAACCAGCTCCAGATGCTGGAGAACAGGCTGTTCCTCTGGAAATCTCAGCACTCTATGGGACAGGATGGAGAAGAAAGATTTGGGTGGAGTTAAGTCAAGACCATGAGCATTGCTCTGGCTGGAACTCTGTGTAACCCTCTTGAGCAGCCCTGAGGAAGCCAGAGTGAATGGCAGGACCCCGGACCAAGATTGGAGAATATGTGGAGGTGGGAGTGTCTGGTTCAGGAGAAGCTGGGAAAGGCAGGAAGTGGCCCAGAACTCTGAACTTCAGAGGAAAAATATCAAAGATATTGATTTCCTTGGAGTGTCAAAAATCTTAATCCCCACCATCTAGACACACCATATTGTCTACAAGGCCAGTTTGACAGTACAGCAACCATGGGCTTCCCTACTGCTGGTTTCAGTGTGCCTCCTCCCACAGTTCCCCTGGGGCAGAGCTTCACTGCCGCTTCCTTGGCCCTTGGTTCATGGCCCAGCAGCCACTTCACCCATTACAGAGAGGCTGATACATCTGGGCTGGGATGTGTGGTCTGACATATCAGCTGGACAGCAGCAGCCACCAGCCCCTCCTCCCCTTCCAAAAGAATAACAAAAATGAAAGTAGCAATGGAGTGAGGCAGGCTCTTCAGGCCTTCACGGAGAGCCGGGAGGTGGGTTTCAGGCAGTGATTGAGTGGGGCTTGCTTTGGAGGAAGATAGGTCTGAGCTTTTGCCTATTTCCCTCTTCACCTCATTTCCCTCACTTGCTGTGTGACCTTAAGCAAATCACTTTCCCTTTCTGGGCCTCGGCCTCCTCATTTCTGAGAGTTTCTGAACTAAACTGAGAGTTTCTTGAGAGCAGGGAGTGTCAGTCAATTATTTTTGGCTATTCCCGAGGTACAGCTATAATGATATAATGACTGAGTGCTCAGGAAATGTTTTTTGTTCTGTTGTTATTGTTTGAGATGGAGACTCGCTCTTGTTGCCCAGGCTGGAGTGCAATGATGCAACTCAGCTCACCGCAACCTCCGCCTCCCAGGTACAAGTGATTCTCCTGCCTCAGCCTCGCAGTAAATGGGATTACAGGCATGAGCCAATTTTTGTATTTTTAGTAGAGACAGGGTTTCTCCATGCTGGTCAGGGTGGTCTCAAACTCTTGACCTCAGGTGATCCGCCCACCTTGGCCTCCCAAAGTGCTGGGATTACAGGTGTGAGCCACCACACCCAGCCAGGAAATGTTTATGTATTGGATGGATGAAAGGAAGGCAGGATCGAGTAGGGTGGGGATGATAGAGGAATGAATAGGTGAATGGATAGATAGTAAAAGAAAGGACACTTCTACACGTCCAGCCTTGATGGGCCTCTTTTTTAAAGTAGATTCATTCATTCATTCATTCGATTATTCAAATCGTGAATCTTAGCCTATATGCCACCTCTCCCTTTCACTTTATCATCACGGCCTTTTCTATTATGAAACATATTTTGCACTGAAAGAATATATATAATGTATATCTATCAATTATAAAGTATAATAAAATTAATACGTGGAAACTTACCCAGCTTAAGAATCAGACTCAGGGCCAGGTGTGGTAGCTCATGCCTGTAATCCCAACACTTCAAGAGCCCAAGGTGGGCGGATCACTTGAGGTCAGGAGTTTGAGACCATCTGGGCCAACGTGGCGAAACCCCATCTCTACTAAAAATACAAAAACTAGCCGGGAATGGTGGCGGGCACCTGTAATCCCAGCTACTCAAGAGGCTGTGGCAAGAGAATTGCTTGAACCTGGGAGGTGGAGTTTGCAGTGAGCCAAGATCACTCCACTGCACTCCAGCCTGGGCAACAGAACAAGACTCCGTCTCAAAAAAAAACAAAAATAAAAGAAATAAGCTCAGTTCTGAATATCTTGGTCTCTCAAAGCTGCATGAGTTGGAACAGAGATTAGCTGTAGATCCTGAATCCACCCCTCTGGGGAGATTTTAAACAGGAACATCCTGAGACCAGGTGCCTACTCCCAGGCTCAACCTGAGCAGACATTGGGTCCTCAGGTCAGATGGTAGATTATGGGGCAAGTGCTGGGGAGATGATCCTTGCTCAAGGTGGGATGCCTTCAGCGCTGTTCAGACCTGGGGACTCTCATTTGTCACCTATGTGAGCTTGGGCAGGTGTTTAACCTCTCCAAACTTATTTTTCTCATCCAAAAGTAGGGCTCATGGTAAAACATAGGCTTCTTAAGAGGATTCCATTAGAAATTCTGGTAGAGGGCTTGGCACACCATAAACCCTTTATAAACAATAGTTGCCACTTCTGTTTTTATTCTTTTGGTTTTTATTTTATTTTATTGAGACAGTGTCTCACTCTGTTGCCCAGACTGGAGTGCAGTGGCACAAACACAGCTCACTGCAGCCTCAACCTCCCACACTCAAGTGAACCTCCCACCTCAGCCCCACAAGTAGCTGGGACTACAGGCACACTCCACCGTGCCTGGCCAATTTTTTGTAAAGATGGTTTTTGCCATGTTGCCCAGGCTGATTTCAAACTCCTGAGCTCAAGTGATCCTCCCTCCTTGGATCCCAAAGTGCTGGGATTACAGGCATGAGTCACCACACCTGGCCAATTTTTAATTTTTGTGGGTACATAGTAGGTTAGATATTTATGGGGTACATGAGATATTTTGGTACAGGCCTGTAATAATAATCACCTCATGGGCTGGGTGTGGTGGTCAGGCCTGTAATCCCAGCACTTTGGGAGGCCAAGACAGGCAGATCATGAGGTGAGGAGTTTGAGACCAGCCTGACCAACATAGTGAAACCGCATCTCTACTAAAAATACAAAAATTAGCCAGGCATGGTGGCACGTGCCTGTAATCCCAGCTACTCGGGAGGCTGAGGCAGGAGAATCACTTGAACCCGGGAGGCGGAGGTTGCAGTGAGCCAAGATTGCACTCCAGAGAGAGACTCTGTCTCAAAAACAAAACAAAAAACTCACATCGTGGAAAATGGGGTATCCATCCCATCCCCTCAGGCATTTATCCTTTGTGTTACAAATAATCCAATTATACTCTTCGTTATTTTATTTATTTATTCTTTTTTTTTTTTGAGATGGAGTCTTGCTCTGTTGCCCAGGCTGGAGTGCAGTGGCTCACTGCAGCCTCTGCCTCCCGAGTTCAAGTGATTCTCTGCCTTAGCCTCCCGAGTAGCTGGGATTACAGGTGTGCCTCACAACGCCTGGCTAATTTTTTGTATTTTTAGCAGAGATAGGCTTTGGTCATGTTGGCCAGGCTGGTCTCAAACTCCTGGCCTCAAATGATCTGCCTGCCTCAGCCTCCCAGTGTTGGGATGAAAGGCATGAGCCACCGCACCCAGGCCTCTTAGTTATGTTTAATGTAATTAAATTATTATTAAATATGATCTCCCTTGCCATTTTAATTGTGATTGTTGTTGTCATTGCCTAAAAGGAAGCTTCACGGCATTGGACAGCCCTTGCAGGAGTGTCCCACCTGTCCAGCCCTGCAGAGCACTGATCACAGGAATTTTCTTATTCTTTTCTTTTTTTTTTTGAGACAGAGTTTCACTCTTGTTGCCCAGGCTGGAGTGCAATGGTGTGATCTCAGCTCACCACAACCTCCGTCTCCCGGGTTCAAGGGATTCTCCTGCCTCCTGAGTAGCTGGGATTACAGGCATGTGCCACCACACCCAGGTTAATATATATATATATATATATATATATATATATATATATATATAATTTTTTTTTCTTAAATAGAGACAGAGCTTCTCCATGTGGGTCAGGCTGGTCTCAAACTCCCAACCTCAGGTGATCTGCCCGCCTTGGCCTCCCAAAGTGCTGGGATTACAGGCGTGAGCCACTGCGCCCAGCGTGGATTTTATTTTTCTATCTGTCTCAACTGTCTGGAGATGGAAGGCTCTTTCCTCTGGGTAAAGTCAAAAAGCCCCAGTCCCCTTCTTGGGGCTCTTTCTGGGCATCAGAAGAGGGATGGCCAGGGAAGAAGCAAAACCAGATCCCCAGGAATGAACCCAGTGAGTGGAGTGGGGGCCCATATTTTGTATCTGGCCCTGTACTAGGTGCTGCAATGGGGCAGCGGGATCATTCCTTCAGCAACCAGTGTTGTTGTGGGTGCTTAAGAGCATGGGCTCTGCAGTCAGAGCTTGGGTTCAAATCCCAGCTTGACCACTTGTTAACTAAAGGAACCTGGGCAAGCTACTTAACTACTCTGAGCCTCAGCATCTCATACATAAAGCGAGGGTACTAATACCCACTTTATCTTTTGAAGCTTAAATGAGATACTACGTGCAAGGAATTAGAGCAGCGCCTGGTACATAAATATTCACTCTTATTATATTATGATACTTACTATTAGGCAGAATATATGCTGGGCCCGGTTTGGAGCTCTGCAGAGGGTTCAAGGATGAAATTGGGCTGGGCGCGGCGGCTCACGCCTGTAATCCCAGCACTTTGGGAGGCTGAGGCGGGCAGATCACTTGAGGTCAGGAGTTTGAGACCAACCTGGCCAACACAGTGAAACCCTGTCTCTACCAAAAAATACAAAAATTAGCTGAGCATGGTGGTCCGTTCCTGTAGTCCCAGCTACTTGAGAGGCTAAGGCAGGAGAATCACTTGCACCCAGGAGGCAGAGGTTGTAGTGAGCCAAGATCATGTCAACAGAGTGAGACCCTGTCTCAAAAAAAAAAAAAGGATGAAATCTGTCCTTGATCCTACCCTCAAGAAGGTTAACGTTTAGGACAGCAGGATCCCATTGTGTATAATTAGAGTTCAGGGCATGATACTAACCAATGACCTAACAACAGTCTGTAAGTGCTACAGTAGAACAGAGAGTGAGATGACTCTTCAAGCTTGGTGATCAGGGAAGACTTCTTGGAGGAAGCAGCATTTGAGTTGGCCCTTAAAGGACAGGAAGAGTTAGAATGAGGAGATAAAGGACAAAACACTGCAGGCACCAGGAGAGGTATAAGCAAAGGTCCTGCAGCCATGGGGATCACAGCAGGTTTAAGGAGCTGGGAGTGGTCCTTCCAGCTAGGCTGGAGAGAAGAGAAAACGAGGGGCTCCAGCTCCAGTGGTAAGTTAGGATCAGTTTCTTTCAGCCCTTGAATATCATGCTGGGAGCTGGGAGTTTTTCAGCAGGCAGGAGGGAGCCAATGATAGTTCTGAGTTGCACCAGGTGATGGTCACCAGTTCCTCTGAACGGTCTCAGTGCTAGGAAGTCTGTGGTCCATCAGGGGGCTCTCAGCTGTCCGCCTGTCTGGGTGATCAGGGACTCTCCCCCAGGGGGGACAGAATTGTGGGCCCTCTCTGAGCCTAGGGCAGCTCAGGGCAGCAGCTGATTCCAGGTTCCCTCTCTCCTCTGACTTCTGCCCGTGCCCTGATGTGACTCTCAAAGCTGACTTCAGGTCGCTCCTCTCCTCTGACTTCTGCCCATGCCCTGATGTGACTCTCACACTGGGCCAGGAGCACCAGTTCCCTTCTGGTTCCTTCATCCCCAGCACTCAGAGCCAGGCTGGCCTGGGGAGGCCCAAGGCAACTCCGCCCTTGCAGAGGGACAGGCTGTTCCTCTTCGGGGCTGGGAGCTCCAGCCTGAACCAGGTCCTGGCTCCTGGCCCAATACCAGGACCCTAACCAGGCTCCCCCATCCCCTCCAATACTTCAGGACCCTCCACTATCAGATAAAGCACGTCCCTATGAACCCCAGGGGTCTAGAAGGATCTGAACCCTCCTGAGCCCAGCCCAACCTGGCACTCCAGCTCCTTGACCCTCCCACCCATTGGCTGGCACAAGATGCCCAGAGCCCCACTCACCATCCTTCCAGCCCTGCCCTCTGCCACCCCAAAGCCTTCACCCCTTTCTCTCCAGGGCTGCAAATCAGTTCCACATTTGGGATCTGGCATGCACTGTCTGCTCAGAACTCTCTCCTCCCTGTTAGCTCCCATCTCCCTCCACCCCACAAGTTCAGCCCCTGGAGTCTGCCGAGGGGAAGGGCTCCTGCCTCTGGCAATCCCTTCAGAGGACTGAGAGGGAGCCTGACAGTGGTACTGTGCCAGAGGGACAGTGGACAGGAGGCCTCCCAGGGAGAGATGAAAGAGGAGGAGCCAAGCGGGTGGGCAGAAGTAGAGCTTGAGCAAGCAAAGGGACGAGGGGCTGGGGGTGGGGAGGGAAGGAAGGTGGTAGTTCCCAGCTCAGCACATTCCTGAGACATCTGGATGAACTGGAAGGGCCCCAGCTGGCCTGCATGACTGTGGCTCTAGCTTCTCTGCTCTGTGATGTCAGCACCCAGCACTCCCCTCTCCCCTCAGAGTCCCACTGGCCTGAGGGCCACTTGGGGCTGAATGCTAGGGTCTCTTCCCCAGACCCCTGACTCTCAGTGAGCAAGAAAGAGGGTCCTGGGACAATGGAGGAAACGCCTGCCACAGAGGTGGGCCTGGGCATGGTGGCAGGAGGTAGGCACTGAAGACCCAGGGGTTTGTCCATCCAACTGACTCAAGGAAAGTGTGCCTTTGAGCTGGTGCCCGTCCTCTTCTCCTTGGAAGGGAGATAGAGATGAATAAATGACTCTGGAAATGGCTGCTTACCTTGGGCTATGTGACCCTGGGCACGTGCACTCCCATCCCCAGCTCTGGATTTTCCTCATCTGTAATAATAACAGCTGCATTTAATGAGAGCCTTCCTCCTATGTGTCCTGCATTAATTTACAAATGTTATCTCATTTCATCCTCACAGCAACCTGCTGGGGTGGATATGAGTGTTCCCATTTTATATTCAGGACTGAGGCTCAGAAAGGTTAAGTAACTTGCCTAAAGCCTGCACAGTGATGAGTAGCAGAACCAGGATGAGAGCCAGGTCTGTCTGCCTCCCTTGCTTATTACCATTGAACTGCTTTGCCTCTGCAAATAAGAGGGGGTGGATCTAATGATGCCAAAATTCCTTTCAGCTCCTAAATTGTAATGATTTCTTTTGGCCATTGTGGGGCTCTTCAAGAAGGGCAAGGGCAGGCATTAGTCACCTACTGGGTGGGGGAAGGAAGGCAGAGACAGCTGGCTTTGAAGCATCGGGTGGGTCAAGAGTCTTTGGAGGTCCCCTCCCATGGAGGCCCAGAGAGGTCCAGCCCCCAGGGATTGGAGGCAATAGCCTAATCCCCAGCTGAGCCCAGGGGTCCCACACCTTCCCTGAAAGAAGGGAGTAAATAAGGAGAGAGAATACCACTCTTTCCAAAAATAAAACCTGAGGACAACTCAGACAGGCCGGGACTGCTGAGGAAGTCAGAGGCCAAATGCTGAGTGCAATGAGGAGAGGGAAGAGGCCAAGGGAATTCCAGCCAGAGCGAGGCAGTAGGCTCCAGGCGAGGAGGGCCTTCCAGCTGGCCAGGGGCCGGGAGAGCAGCCCTGGCAGGTTGGCCACTGTGTTCTGTTTATACCCTTAGGCCTGGCTGGGTCTGGGGGGACAGCAATTCCAGCATGAGTGGTGTCTGTGCTTCCCAGGTACCTGATCTGGCTGGGGCTTAAGAACAGAAAGGCTTGGGGAAGAACAACCTGGAGAATGGGTACAGCAGCCCCACTAGGGAGGAGCCGAAGGAAGGAGTCCAAGCACATGGAAACTCTGCCTGGAGCAGGAGCAAGCTGGCATCAGAGCAAGATTCGGGATGGTAATTCCTGGAGGCTCTCTGCTGCCGAAAAAAGGGCCTGAGTCCATGAGCTCTGACACAGTCCTTCATTCACACTCATCCAGTCAGTCAATCAGTCACTCAGCAAACATCTGAGCACCCACTGTGTGCCAGGACCAATGCTAGGCTTTGCAGATTTGGACAAGAATTGGACACAGCAAGACATATATGCAATACGGGTGGGTCGTGTGAAGCAACACCAAGGAGCTCGTACTCGATCCTAAGGGCAGTAGGCAGCCATCAATGAGTATAGCTCCCTACTACCCTTGGGAGAGAGTACAAGTTCCTCATCAATGGAGCAGAGAAATGACATAGTGACTCCTAAGTTTTAGAAGATTCCTGTTTTTAGAGACATGGTTTCTGTCTGTTGCCCTGGCAAGATTGTAGTGGTGTAATCATAGCTCACTGCAGGCTCAAACTCCTGGGCTCAAGCAATCCTCCTACTTCAGCCTCCTGAGTGACTGGAATTACAGGTACACCCCACCACACCTGGCTAATATTTTTTAATTTTTTTTTTTTAGACATGGGGTCTCACTGTGTTGCCCAGGGCTGGTCTCAAACTCCTGGCCTCAATCATTCTTCCCACCTTGGCCTTCCAAAGTGGTAGGATTACAGCTGTGAGCCCCCTGACTGGCCTAGAAGACCCCTCTGGATGTAAGGTGGAGGGTGCTCTGGAAAGAGATCACAGTTCAAGACTTGGACTGGCCTCTGTAGTCCCATCATTGGTTAGAAAGCCTTTTGAAAGCAGGAATTGGGTCTTGTTCATCTCTGTATCCACAGAGCTGAGCACCCAGCAGATGCTGAGTAAATACTAAATGAATGCATGAATGATGAATAAATGAATGTGACTAGATGCCCTAATTCTCCAGAGGCCTCTGGCACCAACCCCACCACTCAGTTTCCGGTGTCCTAAGCTCTTCTACAGAGACCCCCTGGCCACTGCCTGTAGACCAGCATCTCCAGCAGCCAGACTGTGGGCTGCTGCGCCCTCGGAGGTGCCAGATACAGCTAATCCCAGCCCTGGACGCCGGCACCCGCTGCCATCACTTCCTCCTGCCCAGACAGTGCCTGGCGCCTGCCCCAGGGTTGGGCCACAGCACATGGGCTGCCTGGTCAGAAGATGCCAGGGGCTGGCTGGGAAACTGAGGAAGCTATGGCCTGACTAGGGCAAGGTTACCAGTGTCAGGAGGGACAATGAGAGGGCCAGACTAACAGGGCCAGGGGGAATACAGAGAATACGCACCCTCCCCAGGACTCTGCTCTGCCTTGAAGTAGCCTGCGGCTGGCATCAGCCTGCTGATTCCTCTCTCCTTCCTTTCTCCAGCACACATTGGCAAAGAAAAGCTCTGTCCCCATGTTGACGCTTCCTCCAGCCCTCACTGTCCCAACCCCATGCAAGCCCAGGGCTCCCAAACCTCCCTCACTGGTGTTCAGATGACTCAGTCATCTCGGGCACTAAGATGTTGGCTTGGTGCTGCCAACATTTAGTTCCGTGGTCATGTGAGATGCTGTGTGTGTGACAGCGAGTGTGCGTGACCATGTCTGTGTGATGCTATGTCTGGGGTGACTTCGCATGTGTGTGAGCGTACGGGTGTGAATCAATGTCTGATCACATCTGATGTGTGTCTTTTTGAGTTTGCATTCACACCTGACAGTGTCAGCCTATGTGACTCTGTGGGGGTGTCTGGATGTGTGATAGCGCCTATACAAGGCTGTAGATGGAACCATCTGAATGTGTCGATGGGTGTGTATACCTTTCATTATGTGGTGTCAGAGAGGTGGTGTTCCCCTGTGTACGAAGGAACCCCTCAGCCCACATCTGCGTGTCATGTGCACACACTTGCATGCACACACACACACAGAAGTATTTCTGCATATTTGGACTTGGGCTCTGTGGTGAACGGTTCAGTAGGGGAAAATATGAAACTTCAGCAGCCGCCTTCCCTCGGCCTGCGGGGATTGGGGGCTGAGAGTGAGGTTGGAGGTTGGAACAGCATGCTCCCTTACCCCCATGCTCTGCCAGGAAGACTCTGGGAAGGGGTGGCTCCAGGGACCAGGAGAACTGGTTTCACTCCATTCACTCCCCAAGAGGCCAGGGCAGAGGTAAAAGGCCCACATTCTGAAGACTAAGTCACTTTACTCTGCCCCTGCCAACTCACTACAGAGACACAGACTGTAACAGATGAGGAAACTGAGGCCCAGAGAGGAAACACCTGCCACTGCCCAGGTCTCAGAGCAGAGCTGGGTCTTGAATTAAGGCCTCCTGAGTTTCAGTTCAGTGCGTTTTCTCCTTCGCAGGATGGCCTTAGCTCTGGGAAGGCCAGGTCTGGGTCTCCTAGGACCCCCAGACACTGGATGGCAGTGCTTAAGAACAAGGACAAGGTGGGTCTGCTGACAACTGGAGACCCAAGGGGCCCATCTCCTCTCATTCCCACTCCTGCACCACCCCCTCGACCCTCCGCCCCCCCCCCCCCCCCCGCCGCGACCCTCAGGCACAGCAGTGACTCACACTGATGAAGGCCCTTCAGCGTGAAATGGTACAATTTTCTAGTGACCACGAGGCAAGTAACCGTCCGGGAATGTATGGGTCAGTGTGTGTTGGGGTGTGTGGGGGGGGGGGGTCTGTGGGTCCCAGCCTGCGGGAGGAGGGGGAAGAAAGGGGGAAATGTGAGAGGACTCTCCTCCCATCTCTCCCTAGCACTCACTCTCTCGGAAGGAATGTCCGGGCTCAGGATTCCCCCCCAAACCCTTTATCCCACAGCTCAGCCTGGACCCACTCCGGTCTCCTCCTCCTTTCGCCAGGCACGGACTGAATCAGCCTGGGCTGAGGGAGGAGGCAGAAGTTAGGGATGGGGGTGCAGCGCCAAGGAGCCAGGGGCCTGAGGGAAGGGGGCGCGCTGAGGCTGCTTCTGGTTAGGGAGACCCTTTTCCTACACCGACCCCAGCAGGCAGCTGCGCCCCAGAGCTTTACCCGGTCTGCACTGACCTTAGGGAAGGAATTTAGGGAGGGGGAAAACAAGGCCAGAGCCAGTCCCATTACCGCCCCGGGAGAGTCCTATCGGCCGCCATGAGAGAGCCACAAAGCGCCCCACGGTAGGATGGCTGGAGATGGAGCTGCAAGGGGATTTAAGGCCCGGCCGCCCTTTGAGTCGGGGACGTAGGGGAGACCCTCGGTCTCCACTTCCCCTGCGGAGGTGGGGGTGGGGCCATGCTACTGATGAGAGATTTAGGACAGCGTGAGACCGCCAGGCCATTTCTGCCTCGGCCCCAGACGCAGAACAGGCCTCATGCAGGCCCGAGCCAGTGCACCCTACGCTTCCCCCGGCCGCGGGCCGTCGGCTCAGGCCGGGACCCTCCTCCGCGTGAGCCCTTCACTCCTCCCGAGCCCTCCACGCCGCCGCGGGCAGCTGCTCGCAGCCTCCCCCCATTGGCCAGGAGCTCTGTGGCTCCCACCAATGAGCGGGCCGGATTCCGGGGAGGGGCGGCTCCGGGCGCTCCCGAGTTAACCCTTTGTGGGCCGCTCCAGGACCCCGGCGCCCGGATCCTTCTCTTAAAAAAAGGGCGGGCGGCTGAGGCCGGGCTCCGGGAGTGGGTGCAGCCGAAAGGAGGGGTACGCGGGACTGCGAGCCGGAGAGCTCGGGAACCTCCTCCAAGAGAGGGAAGCCGGCGCCGGCTGCGCGTGGCAGCCGAGAAGGAGCTTATATTGGCATGACTATAGGAAAAAGTATTTAACGAGGAGGGAAACAAATCAGAATATTTCCTTCTCGGGCTTCCCACCCCCGTTGCCTGGAAAGGCACCCCCGTAGGACGCTCACCCCCTGCAGAACCCTGTCTCCTCAGAGCGTTGACACATGGCTCCCCTGCCGTTCGTGGACTCCTGGCCACCGACCCCTTCCTCCGGCTCCCCAGTTTCCATCCGACAAGCGAAACACGAACTTTTGTGTGTGGAGTGGAGGGCGGGCTGGGTGTGGTTGGGGGTAGCGGGGACAAGGGGTCGTGCTGGAGCGGAGGAGGTCTGAGGTCTCCAGAATGGGCTTTCCAGGGATGGGGCCAGGTGGATGCGGTGGAAGAAGTGAGAGGACCCGAAGGTCCCACACACCCCAGGGCAGCCCTGGGCGCACCAGCTCACTGTACGGCCCGGGACATCCACAGCTCTCTCACTGTGCGGTTCTGAATTAGCTGCGTTTCCCTCTCTGGACCCGAGATTTCTCTACTGAGAAGTAGGCGGGGGCGGGGAGAGGCGGTGGATAGTGAGCTTTCTCTTGTCCCTTCTGCCTCTAACTTTACTATAGAAACTAACCCTGACTGAGCCGCCATGAGAGGCCAGGCATCAGACGGAACTAGGGCCCCAGAGCTCTCTAGAGGAGTCCCTGATGGCAATGCTCCCAGGAGGGTGAGGTGGGCCTGGGAGTGATGGGGCACGCCCACCGTCCACCCAGCACCTGAAGAAGCCCTGTGCAAACAGGACCCGGGCGTCGGAGTGTCCTCCACCCCCACCCCTCCTGCCCCTTGGCCGCCCTCCCCTTCCACTTGGCTCCCTCCGCTCTGGAAGCTTCGTCCTGCTGGGTTTTGGCTGCCGTTTCTAGCAGGTGGGGTGGGGGCTGCTCACACAATGGGGCCAACTGAGCTCTCTAAGCAGTTTCCTGTGGGCACCTTAAAAGGGTCTCTGGGAAGAACCTGGGTCATCTGCCTGAGCCAAGGCCTTCGGGGAACCCAGCCCAGATCTGAGGAAGCATCTCTCCTCTCCCAGGCCCCAGGAAGGGGCTTGGCAAACCCTTATCGCCCGAGAAGCAGCTGCAGGAGAAATACCTTAGCCTCTGACTCACCGGCTCCCTCTGCTCGGGCCCGACGCCCCCTCCCACTGGGCCCGACGCCAGGCCTTTGAGAGACCCTAAGGGAGAGAACTGGTAGAAGCGCCCCCAGCCGGCAGGCCCGGGCTCTGCGGAGGGTGTGGCTAGCGCAGCCCTGGCTGTGGCTGGTTGGGTGGTTGGGGGGTGGTTGTACTCTGTAAATGGCCTCTGTCTGGGATCACAGTGATTCTTAGAAACTCATTCAGCTCTGACCTCCTGGTACTGCCTCACTCCAGGTATTGATGGACAGTAGGTATACTGATGGCATTGCCATCTGGTTACAATGCCCTGTCCCTCCACCAGTATCATGAGCCAGGTGCTGGAAGCCAGCAGGTAAACAGGGCGCAGATCCTGCCTCGGAGTTTACAGTTGGGTGATTAGACAATTATCCGACTGGGGAGGGTCTACTGCATTGTGGAAGGACGGGGCAGTGAGGGATAGTGAGCTGCTGTATTAGCTCCCTGGGCCTCAGTTTCCCTCTCTGTCAAATGCTGATCTACAACTTCCTTGTCTTATTGGGTAATTGTGAAGATTAAATGAAATGATGCATAGGAGAGCACTTTGGAAGGTTAAAAGCACAACAGATGGCTCATGCCTGTAATTCCAGCACTTTGGGAGGCCGAGGTGGGCAGATCACAGGGTCAGGAGTTCAAGACCAGCCTGACCAACATGGTGAATCCCCGCCACTACTAAAAATGCAAAAATTAGCCGGGTTTGTGGCGCACACTTGTAATCCCAACTACTCAGGTAGCTGAGGCAGGAGAATTGCTTGAACTTGGGAGATGAAGGTTGTGGTGAACTGAGATCGGGCCATTTCACTCCAGCCTGGGTAACAAGAGTGAAACTCCATCTCAAAAAAGCACAACAGAAATGGATGATGACTGATTGCTGGCAAACTGGGAAGTGGATGAGTACCCCTGCCAGTGGGGCTTCTGAGCTCATTTTGTCCTGGATTCTCTCATCAGACTTTGTTTGGAGAAGACCAAACACCCCTCAGCAACCCCCAGCCCCCACTATTGGTTCCAGACTCAGCTCAGGGCCAGAGTTGAGGGTCTGCAGATTTCATGAAAACCATAGCTAACCATGATCGAGCTCTCACTCTGTAGCAGGCACTGATGTGTGTTTTACATGTACTGTATTTACTCATTTTACCCTCACACTCCTATGAGGTGAGTACTTATCTAACAAAATTGTAGATCCTCATGGCAACACAATGAGGTAGGAACTATTATTTTCCCCTTATGGATGAGGAAACTGAGGCACAGAGAAATTAAGCAATTTGGCAAATGATGGAGATAGGAGTCAAAAGCACGTCTGTATGACTCCAGAGCTTGTGTTAACCTCCTGTTCTAGGCGGACAGACTCACGTGGCCCTGAACCTTATGTTCAGATGGAAGGCTTCTCTGCTCATCCCTTCCAGCTTGGGACAGCCTCCCAATATTCCAGGCCAGAAAGGGCCAACAACGCCAGACTCTGAAGGGATCCCCTGGCACAAGCCCTTAACCACTCAGCAGGTGGGGCTCCAGGATCTAAGGCAGCCCCCCATCCCCATCTCTTCTGACTCACCAGCAAATTCATTCCTTCAATAAATAAGGAACAAACAATAGAAACATTTCTTGGCCAGGCCCGGTGGCTTAACACCTGTAATCCCACCACTTCAGAAGGCTGAGGCAGGTGGATCACTTGAGGTCAGGAGTTTGAGAACAGCCTAGCCAACATGGTGAAACCCCATCTTTACTGAAAATACAAAAAATTAGCCAGGCATAGTGGTCTGTGCCTATAGTCCCAGCTGCTTGGGAGGCTGAGACACGTGAATCACTTGAACCCGGGAGGCAGAGGTTGCAGTGAGCTGAGATCATGCCACTGCACTCCAGCCTGGGCGACAGAGTGAAACTCAAAAAAAAAAAAAAAGAATGAATGAAAGAAACATTTCTTTACACATTTATAATTCTTTAGAGAGCAAATAATAACTTACAAGCACCTAATATATGTCAGCCACTGAGGTGCTTTATTAACAATAAGAGGTCATGTTTATTGAGTAATTACTATGTGCCAGGGACTGTTCTAAGGGCTGAACGTGGATTAACTTGTTTAATCCTCACAACAGTCTCAGCAGGTAGGAACTATTAATATAACCAGCTGTACAGAGGACAAAATAAAACAGAGAGGTTAATTGACCTTCCCAAGATAATAGAGACCAAGATTTTTCAGACATTTTTCTTTCTAAGAAATATGTTACATCATTGCCAAGTACACACCTGTGTGTGCACACACACATAACTGTGATTTTTTTTTTTTTTTTTTTTTTTGAGACAGAGTTTTGCTCTTGTTGCCCAGGCTGGAGTGCAATGTCACGATCTCGGCTCATTGCAACCTCCGCCTCCCGGATTCAAGCAATTCTCCTGTCTCAGCCTCCTGAGTAGCTGAGATTACAGGCATGTGCCACCACGCCTGGCTAATTTTGTATTTTTAGTAGAGACAGGGTTTCTCCATGTTGGTCAGGCTGGTCTTGAACTCTCAGCCTCAGGTGATATAACTGTGATTTTTTTTTTTTTATTGCCAGGTATTTAACTTCACTTTGTGCTGTGCACTCTGATATTTTCTACTCTTTTTTTTTTTTTTTCTGTTTTATTTTTACTTAAATTCTGGTCGTGACCCACTAAGTTGATTTCACAACCCGTTAATGAGTCACCACCCACACTTTAAACAGCACTGAGTCATAGCCAGAAGGATCCAGGCCACCATTTGAACCTAAGTAGTAGTACTCCAGAGCCTAACCTCTCCATATAAAGGATGGCTTGGGAAAGGAGAGACTCTGAAGCTTGAGGACAGATGGGGACTGTGCTACTGAGGGGACTAGAGGCCCCAAGAATCCCACCACCCTACATCACTCTCTTCCCACATCCCGGCAAAAGAGCATACACAATTCACTAATATTGTCTTTGGAAAGCAAACTTGGCGTGGACACACGCTTGTTCTTTGACCTTGTCTTCCCATGAGCCTGTGAGGGAAGTAGGACAGACCGAGAAACTGATTCAAGCAGTTTAAGTAATTTGACCAAGGTCACAGAGCCCGGTGTCCTGTTGCCTGGTCCAGGGAGGTTTTGACCCCATCCACAGCTCCCTCTTGCAGATAGCAATGGTGAGGGTGGAGCTGGCAGTGGAGAGAATGGGATGAGAGTGGCAACGGTCATGATGGAAATGATGAGAGTTGGTGTTGCCATGTTGGTAGTGGTGATGGTGCTGCTGGTATCAATGGGGATGGGGACAGTAATGGGAGGTCACAGTGACAGTGGTGGCCGTGATGGGGTGCTGCACCACCACAGTGGCACCTATACCCCCTTCCCAAGCAAAGCTGAATTCCCTCTTCCCCTCCTCCTTCCCTAGCACTTTCCTGAGCACCTGGACCACTTTGCGGAGAACATGGAGGACTTCTCCAACGACCTGTTCAGCAGTTTCTTTGATGACCCTGTGCTGGATGAGAAGAGCCCTCTATTGGATATGGAACTAGACTCCCCAACGCCAGGCATCCAGGCGGAGCACAGCTACT